TAAAAGTATGGATACAAAGGAAACATTGAAAAAAAATACGTCAATTACATGCTTGCAGACGAATGCCGAAAAGCTGTTGATTAGTCGAAACAGTAATAATACATGGCTACTCATCTAGCACGAGTAGTACAATAATTGTGTTCTCATTAACATGCCAGAAGGAGCGAAACAGAGGACTACCATGAAATGAGTAAATAATGCTAGAAAGGGCGCGGTCACACATACCGCCTCCTCCAAAATCTTTTTCGTGCGTTTCTCGATCTTCTTCTTGCCCGACCCCTTGCCATGGAACTTATGGCTCAGTTGTCGGAAGGCCTCTTTGGGCGCCAGTGCGCGACCCATGTCATCCACGTAGTGCAGCTGAACATCCGGCTTAAAGTTGGACTTCTCGCGGAACTCTGACAGGGGGCCACTGTAGCGCTCGCGTTTGGAGAATTTGGCATCAATGTCGTCGTAGCGCACGTCTTCCTGGACGTAGTGTTTGGCCATCAGGTTCACCAGTTTGTTAACAGTGGGCTTTTAGGGGGGAGAGAAAGAAAAAGAACAGTAAATCAGATCTCGCAAGGACATGTTGCTGCTAGGTCGACCAAACACAGTACCCACCGCCACCAGAACGAGGGTGCCTGTCATCTAGTGAAACTGCAAGATAACCGATGTGTTCATATGTGGCAGATAGGAGAATACTGTACAGGGGAGATTGGCTAACCGATGCAAGTGTCTTAAGAAGCCCCACTTTGAGCGGTCGAAAGAAGAGGACCCCAAGTTCTAGCTCATAATCTCTTATGTGAAAGATGTATCAGAGGCGGCTGAAAGAATCCTGAAACCACTCGGGATCGGTATGGCTCAATGGCCAGAGCCAACCATCAGACAGCAGATCACAAGGCCCAAAGACCCGCTACCGTTGACAGAACAATCAGCTGTGGTCTACAGCATAACATGCCAAGACTGCAATGCAGGGAATGTTGGTGAAACGGGCATACGCCTTGGCACAAGGCTGCATGAGCATCAGCTCGCAATCGACCGCAAGGATAAGCTGTCTATGGTCTATGACCACATACAGCAGAAAAATCACACGTTCGCCTTTGAGAAAGCAAGGGTAATAGGCTGAGTCAATCATAAAATGGCCAGATTGTTGCTAGAAAGTTGGTTCTCGACTGGCACACTTAATAGAGCCATAGACCTTCATACTGCCTACCAAGCGCTCCGCACAAGACTGCCATCTGCTCAGAACGGAGCAATAGGTCGGGCGGAGGAAGATACGCAGGGCCG